TGCATTGGGTGTGATGATTTCCAGAACACATTAAGAGCCATGCAGACCTGGCAGAGCAGACCGCTAATGGCTCACCATGCGGAGCTCCACTCCCTGAAACAAAACAGTTCCCATGAGCCTCCAGAACAGACATCAGGCTGTGTTATGGGCTCTGTGCATGGTGACCTGCACATTTAAAACCTTCTCATGTTACTTCAGTTCGGAGGTCTGGACCCAAATGTTGGGTTTCTGAGATCATTGTTGAAACCAATCCAGTTCATGTGGCGGGGTAATGAAAACATAAAGCTGCTGTCTGGTGACTTGTGATCTTAACCCCTTGCAGTTGAATTATACACCTCTTTTTTGGTGGATTTTAACTCTCTTACGACACAGGCGTCCATTGCAAATAAACAACAAATCAGCATAGACATAACAGGAAAGACTGTCTAACCCTAACCCTGCCTGTGAATCATAATGTTTCTAAATCACTTTAGTATCAAAGTAATTGCCGTCTATACGTCAATAGAACACAGCAAACAGGAACTGCCAACAGACAATTTAGCATGCTTTTAAGGGAGACACAAATGTAAAAATAAATGTTTGGCTAATGTTGTAGCCTACCACACAACTCCATATATCCATGACACCATTATAGAGATATATGTAAATACTTCCAAGTCTAGCAGACAACCCAAATATGTCTGAATTACAGAGATTTGTTTCCTCATGATGTCATGCTGGGATAATAAATATCAGCTGTGGTTTGAATATCTCAGAAAATATGGTTTCTTAGAGCTTGCTTAAAAGGGAGATTAGACATTAAGGGATTATTTAGATTACCCGACAGCTTGTTACTGGTGGAAAGTCCGTTTAAAATGCAAGTCTGGGCTGAATTACAAAGGCTTTTATGGTTACAGACATTATTCCCATCCTTATGAGATTGAGCATGAAGGAGAAATGAACATGAAGAAGAGCAGCAGGAGTTGGTGGGGTACAGACGGAGGATTTGATCCTGACTGTACCACAAGTGCTCACATTCATTATTTTGTTTTCATGCGGGAACAGGGGGAGAAGGAAAGGGAGGGAAAGTAAGAAACCGGGGACATGTGGAATACAAACTGTAACAGGAAGAAATAGTAAAAGGAAACTGATGGTTAAACGGTTCCCTGCTGTTAGTAAACAGAACAACAATGCCCTGTGGTGTGGTAGATTTGTTGTGATTAGACAGTGTTACATCCTCTGATGCAGTTTGTTCACAAAAAGACTTCTGCAGATTGACCACCAGAGGTGAAAAAAGTAGTAGTTGATTAGGAAGTCAAATTAAGCGACAAAACCTACTTCAAATGTTTTAATCAATATTTGTAAAAACTAGAACGGTATTTACAACATTAACAGTCAGGTTACAGGAACTTCCTCTGAAAAATAGTGCAAAACAGAGAATCTTTGAATCCAAGGAAGCCATATTTTCCTGTTTTTCTATGAATATGGAACACATTTACTGTGGGTTAGGGTTAGGGTTTAGACAACTACTACAAACACCTGACATGCAAAAGTAATATTGCTCTTAAATGCAATTTATTAAGATTATGAAGACGCTGGTCATCACATTAATGAACTCCCTGGGACTCTCTGATGTCACAGACAGTTGTGCTACTGTTAGTGCTGGGATGAACTGCTCTTTGGTTAAACCCTGGATCAATGAGGCGTAAAAGCAGGACTCAGGATTGTGTCCTATAATTTGCTCACTGTAAATCTAAATACTGCTGAATTAATGAATCGTCCTAAATATATTTTCTAGGTCTTGTTTAACCAAGAGGACAACAGGAATATGTTTGCTGCTGACTTAGTTACAGATGTTATGTTGAGTGTGTGAAGCAGTGAGAGGCGGCAGATGTGCTCGTGGTTCCTGAGGTGGAGGTCTGAGCCGCGACACCAACCGGGGCGGCCACAAAAAGCCCTTCTACCTTCTAAAGTTTGTCTGGGAGGACGGCCAGCACACTGTAACGTCTGCTTTTCCCACACCGCCAGCCATCAATCCCTCTGACACAGCAGACACCACGGAGACCGTTACCAAAGCAACAGACAGCCATAGCCCAACAGCGCACCGGGAATTACATCATGTCCCAGATAATTATTTACACCAAACAGACTATTTATCCACTTTAAGTACTTAAACATAATTAATAATAACCGAGTTAACCAAGATAATCCAGATTTGCTTTTATTATCCAACAGAAATACCCAGCACAAATGTTCCAACTCAACTCAAGCCGCACTAGTTTCAAAAGTCTAAAAATCTTTCTAGAAAGTCAAGTTGTACAAATGAATTGGATGGACAGAGTTATTACAGTCGTGCCAAGTCTACATATACCAGATACTTAAAGTATAATAATAATAAATACACATATCAGAGAATTTGATTGTTTTATTTCAGTCGTGATGCAAGAGTATTTCCTCAAATATATTTTCTAAAAATACATTAGCAACCCTAGCTCTAACTAATGCCACACATTTCACAAATATACTGACTTCTTTTGACCGAAACCCAGTTGTGTATTTGTACTTTTATATCCCCATGTTGGTTTGCCTTTAATTCACAAGAGTTTGTTTGATAAAATACTAGTTTCAGCAAAGCAATTTCTAGTTTAATTATAATATATAATATTTTACACTGGTTGTGTTTGGCAGATGTCCAGAGGGTAAACTCTCACCAGAGCCAGCTTGTAAATAGAGAAGAAAGCCCTTTTTTAAGTAGGCTCTCGGCTCTGTACTATGGACTGAAGCGAGCACACTCAGATTCCCTGCAGACATTTGTATCTATTTATTGCCTTTTTTTTGGGGGGGGGGGGTCTCTTGGCAACCCATTCAGTGTCTCACACCCCATGAGTGGTGTGCAACCCAGACTTGAAAGATATTGTAATACTTGAGGGCACTTAGAGTTAACACACCCACAGTGGTGTAACATAATGGTGAGAGCAGCAGATTAAAGACGTAGGAGCAAGTTTTTGCAAGCATGAATATTTGTCAATGTTTCACCAGTAATAAGTGAGAGATGCTACCGTTTATTGTCTTAATCACTTACATCTGCACTGAACGGAGACGCATACGGGCCCGAGCATGTTGGTTCAGATTCTGTCTGAAGCTTGTAATCAATGGGTGGAATGATTTCCTGCTTCACACCCTGCCAGCTTGTTGCAACACACAAATAACACAGGAGTTAGGACTGATATTTTTTTATTTATTTATTTATTTTTTTTTTTTTTAAATAGGACATTTTAAAGAGCCACTCTACTGGAAAATGTGTTTTACATCTTGTTACAACTCTTAGATGTTGATGATGTACATGTTTTTTTCATTCATCAGGTGAAGAGGAACAGTTTTTCTGTTTAACACCTTGTTACAGACTGTATTACATTAGCTGAGGCTCTTGGCTTAGAGCAGTGGTTCTCAAACTTTTTCTGGCATTCCCCACTTTGAACAGGTGGGCCTTTTCAAGCCCCACCTGTTCCTGACTTTGGTTTCAGTTGTGTGTGTGTGAGCAGGCTTGGATTCGCCATCGGGAGATTCGGGACTTTTCCCGTTGGGCCGCTGCCGTTGGTGGGCCGCTGTCTCTTGAATAGGTGGGCCGTGGACTTTCACAGCGCCGCTGCGCCGGTACCGCATCCGCAAACACCCACCGTTGCGAGGCTCTGGCAGATCCGGTGCAGCGGTGCTGTGAAAGTCCACCGCCGTTGCGAGTCTCCGGCTGTAATAATCCACTACCGCCCGCGAGGACCCAGGTTCGATTCTGGCCTGAGATCCAATACATTTATTTTTAAAAATATTTTTTTTAAAAATCTCCCGTTCATCGCGGCTTAGAGAGAGGGTTGCGTGGGAACTATCGTGTGTGTGTCAGCTATCGTGTGTGTGTGTGTGTAAAAGCCAACGTGTTTATGATTAATTCTTTACAGGAATACAAAGTTCTTCATAGATCTAACTTTTCTCTTAGCGTACACCAGGTTTATGTATTAAATATAACACTGTACAACATTTCCTTGTTTCCTTTGCCCAAGGACCCCCCCAGAGGGTTTGAGGTCACCTACCTTAGTCTCTTTAAAATATTTTGAAAACGCTGTGACTAGTGCTATTTACCTTATTCATCATCTAATAAACCATAATGCTCTAAGGATTATTGTTCATAATCAGAATAACGTTTAATGCCAAGTAGGTTCATAACTAGAAATGTGCCTTGGTGTATACAATAAACTAATAGAAAAATTCAAATACATTTTGATGACACAATAATCGGATTCTTATTGTCTTCTTCAAGTGATGAGGTTCAATAGCTAAAAATAAAATATCAACTGAATTGACTTTGGGTTGGGAAATTGACACATGAACTGATCCACATCCCAAAAGTGGATTCTAAATTGTCCCACTATGTTCAAAGACAGGAACAGAGAGTGAATACACTATCAGTTTAAGTGTTGCATGCAATATAAACTGATCAGTAACTACTCTAACCAATAACTAGAATAACAACCAGTTCTGACTTTTTGCCAGGTGTTAAAATACCTGTCTGTGGATACATGATGTCAGAGTTAAAGCAAATATGCAGTTACGAAACTACACACTTGAGGTTGAGACAAAAATAAAGGTTAAGTTTGAAGATGGGCGTGGTCTGGGTTAGGGTGGCATCATGGCCAATGAAAGGTCTCTCTCCAACCTTTTTATAAACCTGTTTAACTAGCATGGAAAACAGTTGCATACAGTTATTTCAGACTTGTGTTGTTATTGTGTGTGCTTGTTATGCGTGTTGTGCTTCTACGGTTACACAGGTGATTGTGTTGCTGACATCAGAGCCGCCAGCTCTGCTCTGGAGCGCGGATACTGTTTCCCACGTGTCAGCTATCGTGTTTGGACGGACAGAATGACGACAATCTGGCACTGCAGGCGGCACGGCCAACACTATGTGTGTGTGTGTGTATGTATGTATGTATGTATGTATGTATGTATGTGTGTGTGTGTGCGCGTGGACATACCAGGACCGAGTGCATTCCCATGTAGATTCGGCTGACACAGACCAGCAGACACCAGCAGAGAGCCAGGATGAAGCCCAGTGAGAACGGGTACTGTGGAGGTGAAAGGAGACACTTTTTAAACACAATAAAAACCCACCTTGGAGATCAAACTGCTTAGGCAGGTTTATAACAAACAAAATGAAAAACAATTTTTACATGATTAATAGTCCATAACATGTTAGTTAAATACCATAGGAAAACAGTAAGTGGTGTATTTTTTTTTTTTTTTTAAATTGCTTTTGATTTACCATCAGTAAAAAAATGTATTTCAAAGTTACTTTCAAGCATCGATGACCCAATTCAGGTTTCCAACTTTTAAGAAAAACTCTGTTCAACAAATGTGTTAGACCCAAGCGGCAAACTCTGGGGAACAGCCGGGAAGCCAATACGGAAGTGCCACACACTGCAGTTCATACATGGGCCGCTAGGGACTGGCTGCAGAAAGGAGCAATTTCCATAGACCCCCATGTTAAAATGCCCAACTTTACAGCAGAAAAAAACATGTTACTATCTACTAGGGATGCACGATATTGGTTTTTTGAAACCGATACCGAAACCGATAACTTCCTGCTTCTCAAGACCGATAACAAAAAAAAAAATTACGCCACTAATTATTTTAACGCGATTAACGCATGTGTATTTTTTTTCCTCGGCCGCCCCGTAGTTTCAGAGCGCATCGAGTTTAAAATACCATCTACAAGCTGATGCTGACAGCCCCGCTCCTGTCGCCCGCTTGTGGCAGACCACACTTCCACGCTCACCGGCAGACACCGACTGGCCATCTGGAGGACCGGGAGGGTGTGTGTATGTGTGGCTCGAGCGAGCGAGAGAGACCTTACGTGCATTGTTGTTGTTAGCATCTGGCGCTAGCTAGCTGCGCTAACGGATATACGGAGCTGTTTAAATGAAAACAGAGGAGCAACATTTCGCCACAACTGCGCCGAGCACTTGACTTTATGCAGGAAGCCAGACAGTGGGACATTGTACGAAAAGTCAGCACACTCAGCACGGATAGTGCGCAACATGATTGCAGCGTCCAGGCAGCTCCGGTTCGAGCATATGCCTTGAGTTGCACATAGCTCCAACGCCCATACCACCGACGACATGTTTGTTTACTGTCCTGGCTTCACGAGTTAGGGAGCGCTGGATTTGTGAAGAACTCCCCTCTTCCTAAACCACTAATACCACAGTACTGGCAAAACGGGAGGAGCCGAGTGAAAAACAAGCGCCCCTCATCCCAATCCACCCACACCGCAGTATTTTTTTCTTTTTTTTTACCCAAAAAATATATTGTATATTATCGGGGCTATTAATACTGGTATCGGGTTTATCGGGATGACGTCATAATTCCTAATATCGGACCGATAGTTATCGTGCATCCCTAGTTTCTACCCATGGATGCAATAAATATTATTATCGATATAGTTAGATTCCACCTTCATGATTATGAATCTGTGAGTGAATTGTTTTCTAACACGACCCTTTTATTTATATTAGGTCTTAACGTTTTTGCATAAATTAGGCCGTGGTCACGTTGATGGACACGTACATGCCTCACTGTCAGCTAACAGCAACTTGTCCACTCTGCTAGGCTACAACCATAGAGGCTACAACGTTAGTTAGTCATAGTACTGTACTTGACCCTTTAGCTTTAGCCGTGTTCGTGGTGATTGTGCCTTTTAGGGAATATTGTTACAAATACCAGACAATTAAAATGTCGTGCTGTGCGCTTGAATATACTAACAGAACTTCCAAGAAGTCTAAAATGATAATATTATACATGTTAACCCCGTTCGCAGGTGTTTGTGTGCTTGGTAGCTTAGCTTGTTACTTATTAGCCAGCTAAGGACGTAACCCTTTATGCATACATAAACATTCAGCCTTGGGTAAGACTTTTATAGTCTATGGCTATGACGCCCATAATGCTAAACGGGAGCAAATGTTAATAGGGGACCCAATTATCCCAGTGGTGGCCACCGGAGCTAACGGAGCCGCAGGGGGCTAGCTCCAGCCGGCGTCCCGGAGCTAGCCCACTGCGGCTACGTTAGGTCCGGGCGGTGGAGTCCGTCTTTTCTCAACGTGTGAATGACAAGTAGGGATGGGAATTTGAAAGCAAATGTATATTCGAATATTCGACCCCCCAAAAAACGATTAACCGGTTAACCGAAATGTACATATCCTATACAAAAAAAATTGGGTAAAACATTTTTTTTCAGAATCTTTTTTTTACCCAATTTTTTTTCAATAATTTTTTAGAAATACATGTTCAAATAAGTATAGAAACCATGTCGAATTTGTCAAATGTATTGAACTGGTGATCACAATTTGACAGCTATAAGCCTACACTCAGCTTTCATGTGTGGAGGCGATTCACAATCAGGCCAGCTGTAGAGAAGACCCTCTCAGCTGGAACGGAGGTTGCGGGTATAGCAAGGTATAGCATGTATATATAAGTTTAATTTTGCATAGTTTGACCTCTACACCGCACTCACTAACCTGGTCGAAATATTTCCACACATTACTCCTTTTTGACGCCATGTCTGTTGTGTAGGACTCTTCTTAGAGTGTAAATAATTACCGGACTATGACTGGTAAAATATGTTGAATAGCGGCAAACCTAAATCCTCCTGTCAAAATGTCTATGCACTTTGCCGCCACACACAGTTGCCAAGCAGCGCTTATTGTTGTTTAGGCTGGCCACTCATGTGTCGCGAGTGTTGACAGGGGGCGGGGGAGCACGCTCATGAACTGTTAGCGCCGGAACCTCGCAACGGCTGCGGAGCTCATTTGCGCCACATTTGGGCCTAAAATGAGGTTTGAGTCTGCGTGATCTGCGTGTAGGGAGGGGCAGCAGCCATACCATTAGCTAGATCTAGCTAGATCTGATGGATTTGGACATAAACGCGAGTGAAGTACATAGCCGCGGGAAGTAGGGGTGCTGGGGGTGCTGCAGCACCCCCTGTTGGCGGGTGGTGTACATTTGAAAAACTGAGTGACCACCTAAATAAAAATGATTAAACTACATAAAATAGTTATGATTTTACTTAAAATAAAATTAGCTGTATACAGTAGCATATAATAGTCATAGTATATATTTGTATATATCAGGTGGCTTGAATTTATTTTCCAAATAAATAAAATCCGAGTCATCTAGGTCGTAGGTCGTGGGAGAGTGACGTAATTGACGCGACACACACACTGCAGAGTGACAACTTTCTAGAATGGCGCAAAAAAGGATTTTGGATTTTTTTCTCCAACAAACAACCCAATAAAAAGAGTGGACCACCAGCTACTCCTCAGCCCACCACCTCTACAACTAGAGTAATATGACACAGAAGAGACTGACATCTGACTTTAATGCATGTCCATAGTAACATTTTGGACAATGTGGATGTATCTGCTCTAATGAGGGTCTTCATTAGTGCCACCCCAGGCTACATTTGGAGTTTTGTGAAGCCCCAACACAAGGTAAGACGATATTTTTCCTTTAATGCTGCTGCCGCTGTGCAGTGTTTTGCCTTGTCAATCAGTTAAAATTGAATTCATAGTTTTATTAATATTGTAAATAATATTTTCTGACTATTTGTAATGTTATGTAGGTTTGTAAGACCCATAGTTAGCATGTGGGCATGTGCAGCTGTTGCTAAGGTCTATAATGGTTTATTAAAGTTAAGGCGAGACACCCCAGGTGAATAGGGTAATTTCTCCAGTTAATTACCTACAATAAGGCAATTGTTTCTTATATTACAAGTTTTCTGAATATGCAAATGTGCCATTATCTCATTAAATTTGCGCATAGTTTAACACATTTCAGGAACCGAAATCTGAACTTTGGATAAAGCCAGGTTCAAAATTCTCGTTTCATTTTGTAGTCATATTAGCATCTAAGGCTTTTACTGAAGGGATTTTGGATATCTCTTTTTATCACTCCATAAATCAGAAAATACTGTCAACAGCCCTAAAATATCAATTTTCGCCATGTTTCTAGGTATAACATCTTATATAATTCAGGCTATGAATGATATATGAACAAACCCTTCTGTAAAAGCCTTCATAATATTGATAAGAATATAACTGGAAGGTTTGGTGTATGTAAGTGCAACTGAAGTGGACATTTCGAACTCAGAGTAGGAGAAAAAACTCATTTTGAGAAAACGACCTTTAAAGATTGCAGTGAGGCGCTAGCTAAACCCTCCTGTTCTTTGGATGACAGCTTGCGCATCGACGCACTCCGTGAAGGTATTTCATGTTCGGGGTCATTTGTTTTTTGTATAACCTTGCTTCGTGCAAGTGACAATTGTTGTCGTCTTCTCTGTGAACGTTTTTTTCGCCGTTCTTTTGCCATTTTGAGATTTAAATTTCTAGCGGAAAGCTAACCAGGAAGTGTTTTAGCACATCACGTGACGCATCTGAACGAATCACGTTGTCAGAAGTTGACACCAGCCAATGAGATTTTGTTTCTTGGTTTAAGAGCCTTTTGTACTTTCACGATTGGTTGCTGATACAAAGGAAATGACCATATTTGGATCCGATGAGATTGTGCAGGAGAGACGGAGCTTTCCAACGATGACATTGTGCAAACAGCGGTCGCAGTACTTTATAATGCTAACTTTTGGTGAATTTAGGAGAAATATACAGACGCAAATAGACCAACTATAGTAAAATGAACACTTAAATGTGTATTTTGTACGTTTTCTTTCCAAAAGCCTGAAAGAAAACATGTTATGGAATCAAAATAGCACAACATCTCAAAATTGACCAGTGCATGAAAAACTATGTTTTTGCCTGCCGTGTCTCGCCTTTAACAAACAATGTATGCGGCTCGTATCGCTGACAACTGGGCCCGGCCCGGCACCGCCTTTTTTTTTTTTTTTTAAGCGGCTCCCTCCCCACTTTTGGCAGCACCCCCTGAGCAAAATGACTTCCCGCGGCTATGGTGAAGTATAACCGGACACGAGAGAGAGAGAGAGATCAGCACCTGCAGCTCTGCCCGCTGTGAGGGACCGGTGAGCGGAGCAAAACACACCTTTAGACGTCACCTAACACATTTA